GATTACTTGTGGATTATTCTGATTTTTTTATCAGATGTTTGGACTCTCATTCTGACGGCACCCATTCACTATAAAGGATCCATTGGTAAGCAAGTGACATACTGCTAAATTTGAACTAACAAAACAACACTTGAATTTTTAAAAATCACTTTGGTTTTTGAAATAAGAATAAGAAGCAAGAGTTTTTCGGCAGTTTTTTTCACGCCTACACGCTCAGATGACAAGGTCGCCGTAAGAGCAGCACATGCCATCTGGACACACTTCACTGAGCATCAAGTCATCCTTACGGCAGCTTATTAAAGACGTAACAGACGACCGTAAAGGTTATATAAGAGCATTATTATCTGTGCTCTGTTCACTGTGGGTCCCGAGGGGAAATCTGCTGGATTTATTCCTCGGCCCGTACAGTTAAATAAATCAAATTTGTGTTTAATGTTTCACGTGGTCACACGCGAGCCAAACAAAACCGGTTTAATCTGTCTTTCTTACTTTAGACTCAACCGCTCACCTCAATCACTGACCTTTGCTCTGTCACTCCGGTACATTATCAGTCCGAACAACCACCAAACTGCTCTCTAAATTAACTCAAACGGTAGGGGGGCAGTTCTCAAAACCATTACGTTAAAAAAAAAAAGAACTAAAGCAGCATTAAAGATGAATGAGTCCCTGCAGGAAGTGCTGCTCCTGTGAGAGGAAGCCGTCAGGCCTGCGCTGTGTGTCAGTGAGGCCTACGGTGCAGGTCTGGAATTGACTAGAAATTCATTTCTATGGCCACCAATGATGTTCTCAGAAGGACACCCGCTGTTTTTCTCCACTGCACGCTGCATAAATGATCCTCGGCACGCTGCACACTGAGAGAAAGACAGAGAGAGAGGGAAATCAGTGCCATCTCCATTTCAAAAGTCACTTGTTTAGAAGGACAGGACTTTTAGTACAAGTCAATTAGTACTCTGCTGGGTGCCATTATTTCAAGGTTAAAGTCAACACATTTAAGATTACACGCTCGTGTAGATGTGGCAGTATTACGAAATTGACAGTTGAGCATACATGTACAACCGGTGTTGGGTGTAACGCATTACAAGTAATGCGAGTCATGTAATCAGATTACTTTTTTCCCCAAGTAACAAGTAAAGAAACGCATTACTTTTAATTTTACAAGAAAATATCTGAGTTACTTTGTTTTTCCATTTATTTACCGACAGCTTTAAAGGGATAGTTCACCCAAATATGTAAATTCAGTCATTAATTACTCACCCTCATGTCGTTCTAAACCCGTAAGACCTTTGTTTAGCTTCAGAACACATAGTAAGACATTTCTGATGAAATGCGAGCGCTTTCTGATCCTGCAAAGACAGTGTCAGAGAAGACTTTTGGTGAGAAAGGGTCTTTAGAGTTGCAAAAAATATAACTTTTTCATTTTTTTTGTTATAAAAAATAACTAAGCAAGCCCAGCCCAGGTGACAAAAAGTAACGCAAAAGTAGCGTAATGCATTACTTTGCATAGAAAGTAACTAAGTAACCGTTACGTTTTTATGGAGTAATGCAATATTGTAATACATTACTTTTTAAAGTAAATTCCCCAACAGTATGTGATGACAGTGAGTGTGATTACATGAAAATTACATCACAAATGATTTGAAATCTCTTGTAAACGTTTTTGAGTAAGGTATATAACAATGTGTTCAATAAAAATAAAAAACGTAAATGTATGTTGCATGATGTGTAACTCCTGTTAAATGTATTTTATATATAACTTTTTAATTATTTATACAATAAATAAATTGTCATTGTAATATTATATTTATAATTGTATACATTTATAATATATCATATTTTGAATTGTTCACATTAAATTGATCAAAAGTGACAGTGAAGACATTTATTATATCAAAAATATAAAATATTTTTTAAAACATGCATCAGGGGTTCCACAAAAATATTAATCAGCCCCATTTTTTAACATTGATAATAATAATAAATGTTTCTTTAGCAGCAAATCAGCATATTAGAATGATTTCTGAAGGATCATGTGACACTGAAGACTGGAATAATTATGTTGAAAATCACAGGAATAAATGACATTTTGAATATATTCAAATAGAAAAATAAAAGTTAAATTGTAACAGTATTTTACAATATTACTGTGTTTTATTTTATATATCATATGGACTGCATTCATGCTGCTTTTTGACATTTTTGCACATCAATGGTAGCCGTCCCTATCCACTTTCATTAAAAACAGCTCTCTAGATATTATGCTAAACGTCTCCTTTTCAGTTCCACGGAGGAAAGAACACAATAAATGTTTGGAAACAAAATGTGACCCTGGACCACAAAACCAGTCATAAGAGTCCATTTTTTAAAAATTTAGATTTATACATCATCTGAAAGCTGAATAAATAGCTTTCCATTGATGTATGGTTTGTTAGGATAGGACAATATTTGGCTGAGATACAACTATTTGAAAATCTGGAATCTGAGGGTGCAAAAAAATCAAAATATTGAGAAAATCACCTTTAAAGTTGTCCAAATTAAGTTCTTAGCAATGCATATTACTAATCAAAAATTACGTTTTGATATATTTACAGTAGGACATTTACAAAATATCTTCATGGAACATGATCTTTACTTAATATCCTAATGATTTTTGGCATTAAAGAGAAATCGATCATTTGACCTATAGCCTACAATGTATGTTGGCTATTACAAATATACCCGCGCTGCTTATGACCGGTTTGGTCACATTTCTTTAACTGTAGGTGAGTTCTGCTTGTAATGGCACAATCTAACCGCTAGAAGTCGCCACTTCGACACGCAACTCCTCGGCTGTCTGAGAGGCGTGATTGGCGTGCGCAATGAGTGAACGCACAGGGCTCTACTGCGGGACAGGGCTGATATACAGTCATTCACATTTCTGTTCGCTCTTCTCTCTTTCTGTTCATCTTCACGGGCCCGTCGAGGCCTGTACGTGCGAACCGGGTGATAGACGTTTAAGGTGGAAGCCTTTGGGAACACGGACTCTTCCCCACCGGGATGGAGACCGACCAGCCCCACCTGCGGAGCCTCATCTGCGCCAGCGGCGCACAAATGGGATGTTATGCAACAACGGGTTAATAAAGCAGCGCTTCAGTTAGTGTTTCACTGACTAGGCTACTATGGCACCAGGTGCATGTTCAACACTCAAAGGATAGAAACAAGGTTGCATTACGCGTTTGTCCAAACACGCAAGCGCAAGACACAAAACCATTCACCGACTTGACATTCAATTAACCAGTATCTATTTTGTTACAAGTACTTATTTCCTTTTAAATGACAAGTAATTAATATAAAATGCTACTAATCCAGCTTCACTAGCCTATTTATTAGACACTACAGTATAGGCTACTAGCAGCACGTATTCTCACTATTATAAATTAATAGCTTATTTAATTTGTAAAAATGGCTACTTTTTTAGTACTAGCATCTACAAATATTACAGGTAATACAAGAGTCTAGTCTAATGAACAGGTAGCATTATTTTTGGCATAAAGAGCCGTTTGTAACTTGAATGTGCGAGGCTTCCGGTGTCATTTGCTAGCTATTTTTCTTGTACAAATCAGTCCATTATGCCGCTTGATATTGCAGACTTGTATTTGTTATCATTTTTTTATTCATTACCATAATCATAAACACACTGGTTTGTAGAACAAATAGTTTTATCGTTAACTGCACTTTGTTCTACGTCTAGTCAATACCTATTGCAGAGGCCTAATGAACCGGAAGTCTCGCACATTCACGGAAAATAGCTCACTTCTGCATTGTAAAATAAGGGGAATAGGGTTAAATCAGTACTGGAAAAATATATTAGTACACTGAAAAAAAATGATACTACATTTTATTAAGGTAAGTGGTTGCAAACAATTTATTTTAGCTACATTTAATATTTTTTTTTAGTATAGCTCACTTCTGCATTGTAAAATAAGGGGAATAGGGTTAAATCAGTACTGGAAAAATATATTAGTACACTGAAAAAAAATGATACTACATTTTATTAAGGTAAGTGGTTGCAAACAATTTATTTTAGCTACATTTAATAAAAAATTTTTTAGTACAAGTTAGTCAAATAAATGTGTTTATTTAAATGTAGCTAAAATAAATTGATTGCAACCACTTACCTTAAAAAAATTTAGTCAATTAAATGAATCATTTTTTTTCTAGTGTAAATATTAAAATGGTAAATAAGTACTATTGTATAGTTGTAAAACTAGAACAGGTAGCTACCAGAAAAAAGAACCTAAGTATAGTCGGAAACAAGTATTTGATTGATAGAAACCATAGATAACCATTGTTCAACGGCAAAAATCTGCAATTAGTTACCAGTAACTGTGGAATAGTTAGTTGTATGGGATAGTGAGTAACAGCAAAGGAATACAAGCTTTATGTAATCAACAATACTATAATTTAAAGATATTGGGATATAGTAGCCTAGAACCTTATAAATATGTAAGCTACCTACTAAATACAAAAAAATATACTAGTCATGCACTGTTTGTTGTATATTTTCTGAATAAAAGTAGGCTAAATGAAGAAAAAGATAGCTACTATTAAAAAATTGGTGTTGAAACTATTTTCACTCAGAAATTTCTAGTGAGTTTCACAAACAATTACAAAGCAACAGCAAGTAACACTGAATTAAAACGCAGGCCTACTCCATTATTCTTTGTTTTACTTAGCCTACAACTTGGAACAGCGAAGTATAGTGACATAAAAATGCAGATTATAGTTGGTTATAAGGAATAAATGTCAAGCTGACACAGACGTGTTCAATCAAACCATTTAGTCTGCACGCTTTATTCCCACAGCAATAAAACATTGTGTCAAAGTGTTGATGGATGTCATATATGTGCATGCATATAGACAAAATAACAGCTCCGGAGCATCCTCTACCCCAGCCCACCCCACCCCACCCCACCCGCGGGGCAATGTCTCAGAGCACGTCACCGTGAGTGAGTGAGTGTGTGTGTGTGTGTGTGAGGAAGGAGAGAGAGAGAGAGAAAGTAGATGCGTGCAGACAACCTGCCTGCACGTAATTCTGGGAGGACTCTCCGCCGAGCAACGACACAATAAACACTCACGGAACCGCAAGAGTTTCCCTCGGCGGAGTAACTAATAAGCACTTGAATCACGTCACACCATCCAGTCAGGAGTCCATCATCAATCTGCAGCCATGTATCTGAACAGGGAGGAGGAGTACAGCAAAGGTAAGTGCTTTTATTTCTGTTGCCATTAAACTTGTAGGAGTATCTTCTTCTCACCTTGGACGGATGCCTCTGGCTCTGGGTTGCACAGGTGGGGTTGCACAATGGAGTTTGGGGGGGTGGCACGATCGCACCTGTCACGGGGTCATCACTTCTTTGCCCCCTTGTTTTACATCATTGTCCGAGCGCGCGCAAACAAAAGAGACAGGCGCGCACTAATGACTGTTTGACATTGTCACGCGCTCTCGGGGCATTTGCATTGACAGCGATTACTGTGGCGTGCTGGATTTGATAACTAACTTTGATTTGAGGTCCCGTGAAGATCTGTCGTTGCGTAACAATACGCGAATGCTTTCTTATCGAAGGCTCAATCGGGGCTACTTGTTGTGCGCTTCGTCCTTGATAGAGCTTCACGCGAAGAGACTTGAGGAAGGACAAATGACTAAAACACAAGGTCAAAGCATCTCGAAGCGGGCTAGACGGTGCCTCGTCCCCGTTATCCGCACCATTACACGCGAACCTTGGCGTTGTGGTGAATCGTTATGATGATTCCGTGGGCGTTTTGCTGGGGTACGGTGGGCTGTTATTTGTGTCAACTCTCCCACGTGTTTCCGAAGCGTGATTCCCCGTGAATTCACAGGGTGCCCACTACAATTGTCCCCGGTGTCCCTCCCACGGTAAATGAATTTGCTTCGGGGCTCCGGAAAGGAGGTGACTGGAATTAAGAGTGGAGGCGCGTTTGGGCTACGCCAACAACACCTGCTGCTACCGAGAGCCAGAAAGCAAAAGACGGTGTTTGATATGCGGTAAATGCCGTGAGGAGATAATAACCGTGGCGTGAATGCAACTGTGTGGGTTTGGAAAGGAAAGGTGGTCACGGATAAGCCCTCAAATATCAGGCTAATATGAGACACACAGGACAAACCTGACACAGAAATGGGTAAAAAAAAAAAAAGCAAGGTGTTTAATTGGATTTTTCTCACTCAAATTAACTCGCAAACACGAATCAACATAATGTGAATGTAAATTTACAAAGTGTTCGTAATAAACCGAACCATGCTTGAACGTTGTGAATTGGTTCTCTGAAATAACCAAACAGGAGTCACACAAGGAAATGTTCCGTGTTTGCTTGTAAGGTTATCATAATAACTGGTATGCCATTCTAATTAAGGCATTATTTACTAATTAAGACATCATTTAGTCCATTTCTGGACAATTCCCATGAGAAGGTTAAGTAATCAGTAGGTTTGCTTTTTTCCACATCCCGAAAAGGTAAACGTGCCCACTAGTGGCTGGGACTTTGACTCAGTGATTCGAATCTTTTGAACCTATTAATAAAGATTTGTCGCTGATTCATCCAGTGACCTTTTCTACACGACGGTGACAACCTCTGAGTCTTTTGTGTGTTAAGTCGAACGAAAAAGTCCTATAAGCTTTTGTCTGCAAATCTTCTCAAGTAACAGTGTTTAAGCATCATTTTAAAATACTTCATTCGTTTATTTTGTTCAATGCCACGTCTCATTTCATTCAGTGTGTTTACAAATGAGATGTCATTTAGTCCATTTATGAACAATTCCCATGAGAAAGTTAATTCAGGTTTTGCTATTTTCTCATCCCGAGAAGTTCAGCAAAACATGCCTGTACCCACTATGGCTGGCACGATGCATCTCAGCGATTCGAATCTTTTGAATCTATTAACGATTCGCATATTCATTCAGTGTCCTTTTACGCCTGCAGGTGGCGACAACTGAATCTTTTGTGTGTTAAGAGCAAACGAGTCATTGAGTCATTCACTCGAGCGAGTATACCGAAAGAAGCGTTGTTGTGTTTTATTAAACTTTGCTTGTCTTTACATGTAGGCCTATTCTAGAAACTCAATAAACAGTGATAATAAGGATTTGTTAATGCTTAATTCCTTCATTTTTGCTTCAGTGCCACGTCAACTTTACAAATTAAATGTATTGTTCGAATCTTGTTCAGGTGACTCGTTTAGTGAAGGGGGCGTATTCCTTCAGCATGTTCAACCAATGAAATTCGCCATTAGAGAATGCGCACAAATGCTATTGGTTCTTGCTAGGAAGTCACACGCTTCCAAACGGAGAACAAAAGCATCAAACTGAAGGATAATAACAATTCGTTCACTTAAAAGATTCATTTAAAGTATTGATTCTTTCACAAACGAACAACCACTAATACACAATCAGTCAGCAGGTGCTCTCACTCAGTCGGGATTTAACTTCAGTCAGGTAATCGAAAGCCTGTACATGTTGAGGGAGTGTATTTTTTGATGGTTTAATTGATTGGGGTGTGACTGATGGAGTTAATTGATGAAGTTAATTGATGTAGCCCTGTACTTTCAGTTTTCCCGCGCTTCAAGGTTGACGCGGGAAGCATGTGGTCAAGTTTTTGTCTCAGATGCTGTTTTATTATTGTGTCTTTAATTTTATGAGGTAGGCTAATTGATAAAGAGATGCTTTTGCAAATGGTATCACATGAGTGATCACAACTGTGGGTTTGTGACCCACTAATTGTGTTCGATTAAAAACGCCAAAACGTTTAATGAGATAACTTGTTTTGAGGAACAAATACCGAATCACGAACAGACTGTAGAGATGTTAAACACAATCTGGAGCCTCACCCCCTCTCCTACTATTTCTATGAGACATATTTAACTTTCATGCTTGTTACTCTTCCTTTAATTACTCGTTTTTATTAAATACAGATGACAAGGAAATTGTGACTTTAGTATGAGCTTCAAACCAAGCAAACCCCTTATATGAAGTGCCATTGCTTCTGTATACATCCACAGGGCTTTATCTATACCAGGGGTGGGCAAACTTGGCCCTTTCAGGTCACTTTCCTTCAGAGGTTAGCTCCAACTCTAATCAAACACACCTGAACCAGCTAATCATTGTCTTCAAGACTACTAGAAAGCTACAGGCAGGTGAGTTTTATCAGGGTTGGATTAAATCTCTGCAGGAAAGTGGCCTGGAAGGGCCAAGTTTGCCCATCACTGATCTATACAGTTTAAGAAATGGTGAAGCTTCAGGATTATTACTGATTATTGCATCTCTCTCTCGCGCTCTCTCTGTCTTGTTGATTTATGTAATTGATAGATGGAGTTACTCACTAGAATGGACCAAATATTAAAGATTGGGGGACTAAATGTAAAAGTTCAAGAACTGGTTTTCATTTATCAAGTCCAATCCTGGCCTCTCATGCTAGATAGGTTTGTGTGTGTGTGTGATTGTATTGAGTGAAGAAGTGGACAGATTGCAGATGATAAGTGAGGGAATGGACCAAACGGAGAAAAAAAAAGTGTATGTGTGTAAATATGGATGTGTCACCGAGGCACAGAAGATGACAGGAGGGGTATAATGTGCCGAAATGATTGACAGTTCATGTATTATTCATGCAATCCTGTTGATCTGAAAGAGAGAGAGAGATGGAGAGACACAGAGAAAGAAATAAAAAGAGACAAATTGCCTGTGCCTCCGTAGACTGTTCTGTATTTAAATCTTGAGCGACTGCAGTGTCAAACCAACAGGATTTTCTCATTAAATTGCCGCAATACAGATTTTAAGTGTATTTCGGTACTAAATATCATAGATCTATAAGCAAAATCAATGATTGTGAATCTTGTTGAATGACTCGGAAGCCCATTTTGATTGTACAATTGCTCCTTATGTATTAGTATTGGGTATTTTGATTCATCCTAGTGACTTTTAGTTTGAGCCTTTTGGTTTTGGTTGTTTAGATTTGTTCAGTAGGTTGCATCAATGAGTTTGTGTTCCCATTCAATTCAATGGCAGATTGACCTGAATTCTGCCATCTTTGCTTTATGAGCACACATTTTTGGAGCCAATCACCTGAGCCACTAAATGTCATGGAAGAGACATCAAAAAATCTATTTGATACTATTGAGAATCCCCCCAAAATGTTCTGATATTGGTGAAACATCTACGATAGTATAATATAATGAATCTTTTGCAGTTTAATGTTGCTTGCGTTGCAAGTCTTGAATGCCCATCAATAGAGAAATGTATTTTTGACCACTTCTTGGACCACACTGAATTGTTTACTACCAAAGAGTCTTATTATCATATAAATGAGTAAAACCAGCATCTACAAATCTACAAAGGCAAATAGTGTCAATCTGTTATTGTTTCCAATAGTTTTTTGTCACATTTTGTGGGACTGCTGAGCTTAGCTTTTTTGTCTTGCCATAGAAAACAGACAACAATAGACTGCTTAAATGATTTACGATACATTCTCTAACACGCATATTTTAGATTCACAATTCATTTAAATGAATTGCCGCGGGATTAAATTCCCGAATAAAACGCGGTAGCGGTCGGTAACTCTGGTGTAATTTGAACGGGAGCTGGCGGTCTAACAATATCCAGTTCCCGACGTCCATTTAGAACAGCATATGTGCACTTTATTCTTATTGACCACCGGTACAGCCTTCACTCAGACTGTTATGCACGCATGCTTTCAGCATCACGCCTTTTATTTGCGTGGTCTGTGCGCAGCATGTGCATAACGATGCTCAGAGCAGGCTGTACC